TGGATACCGGAGGTTTTGTCCCTTCTGAAACCTGTGCGTGCCTTGCATGTGTTGAGTTTTTAGTCCAGAAAGAAAACCTAATCCCTGGTTTCTCCCTTTTCTGCCACTGTTTCATTGCCTCTGCTTCTTATGTCTTCCAGCTAATTTGCAGTCTTTATATTCATGAACTGCCTTGGTCTTCATCAGTTTTCAGCTGGTGTTAAAGAGAGAGAACTCATTCCTTGTCAGACACATCCCTGTCTGGCTACTTTGTCTTACTCTATTCGTTCTTTACAGTGTAATATATTCCACTACATGTATTAGCTTTATTTTAATTTCACTTTTTCCTCCCTTTTTCTTATTGCCTTTATCTTCATATGCCTAACAGAATATTCTGTGAAGATAATCCAAAAAACCCAAGAATATGGTATTCTCAAGAGTTTGAGTTGACATTTCTCTTAGAACGCTTGTCATAACATTCCAGTAAACTTCATAGTCAGCTTGAAGCATTTTTTTTTAAAAAGAAAAAATAATCAAGCAATTAATGCAGTGGGTATAAGATATGCTTGTAACTACTGCACAAAAATATTGGTTCCTTTGTTATCACGTACCAGTAAAGGAATAACACCCTGGCATTCTCTTCGGTCTTTAAGTATTTTTCCTCCTCTAGCAAATCTTGTAATTAAAGGATTATTTTTGGTGTGATGGCAAATGCTCTAGCTTAACTGAGCATGTGTGTAGTCTTTACATCTTTTTCTCTGAGTTGTTAAACGCTGAGAAATCTCGCCATTTCCATGTGAAATAATTGCACATGGTACTCTCTGAATTTCAAGACTGGAGTCTCTCCTTGTTGATGAAAAATGCAGTTTGATCTGGCAAAGAGTTTTATCTTATAAATGTGAAGCTTGCTGACTTCATATGCAAACTGCAAGAAAATGTCTTTCCTACAAGTTCTGCCTGTCTCTTAACTCTTTCTTGAGTTCATGAAAAGATTTCCTGCCTTCGGTTGTTAAAACTTCAGATGTCAAAACTCAGCATCTGACCAACAACTCCACAACTTCCCATAACAGAGAAAATGGTCGAATTTCATAAATGCATAGCTGCAATGTTGGGCACTTCACAGTCTGTGTTCCACTGCTGTAGGATAAACTGGTGTGTGTGTGTACAGAAAAAACACGCCAGGTTCATCTCTCTGGTTTAATGTCCATGGAGGACCTTCTAGATTTGCTAATCAAAATGCTTTCTAGCTTTTTTCCCCTTTAATAGATTCTTTTGTTTACGTGTGTGTAGTTCCTTCTTTCAACAGAGAAACCCAAAATTATTGGGAGGGCAAGGGAATCTATTGCTGTGTTCCAGAAGACTTACTAGAAAGTTAAAAGTAAGAGTTAGATATTGGAAGAACTGAAGTAGTACCGCACTCTTAAAATTAGTATCTTTAAAAAGAAAGAAAACACATTCAAGCTATATGATTTTGGAGTAAGATAAAATTTTTAGCCTTTATTTTTTCCCCTGTTCAACCAAAGGCTTGTTATTGTCAATGTCTTTGTATTCTGAACACATACTGACAGATTACTTAAGAAATAATTTCCAATTATACCTCCTGAATCTGGAATACTGGAACTGCTTTCTGGCATGCGTGATACCTCCTTAGCTCTTACAGAGTTCTATAATTTACTCAGGTTTGAATGCGATGCATTAAAAAATCTGGATTCTTCTGCTCTCTGTGTCCTAGATTAGTCTCTGTTCAATGATTAAATAACACAGTTTTATATACTTACAAACTCGTATCTTCCCTCTGCTGCTTCTTTGTATATTTTTTTTTGTGTCAGTACTGAATTGACTGTTACAAAAACTGTAAATCTGTAAAGTGGCTCAAGGCTTTTGTGGTTTTTTTTGGAAGGGGGATGGGGCTGTTAAGTAGTACTGTATTGTTTGACATGGAACAGAATCTGTCATGAACAAAACCGCAGTTGTGGAGAGTTTCTAGCTTAAGTGCTGTGCAGTAGAGACAGCGGCTAATTTAGTGATACTAATTTCATATTTGGTATGTTTTCTAGCTAGATGAAGAGATCTCAGGAGTTATTGAAGTAGTGGGAAGAGTAACAAATCGGGCAACCATCATGTGCATGTCATATGTCCAGTTCAGAGAAGATAAAAGTCCATTTGGTAAGTAAGAATACACATGACAAACTCATTTTGAGTTCTGAACTCTTCTTCAATAAGTAAGAAGGGAGAGCCTGATTATCTTTTCTTATGGACAAGGTCTTTCTTCAAGCTGCCAGATATGGAGTAGAATGTAGAAAAGGAGAGTGTCGTGGGAAAAATTCTGTACCAAATATACTGTTTTACTGTCAAATTGTAGGGGGGACTGACTCGAAGCTGGAGCCAGTCTAGATCATTGCCATGGTCTGATCATTCTCCCACTCCTGACCATGTGGTTCTTGCCTTGCTCTGGACTTTGTGTGATTGTGCAGCTAGCAGGCCTAAAAATAACCCTCCAGAAAGCAAGCAATGAGAGTGTGGCCGCCATGGGAAAACTGGGGAGGATAAGAGAGACTGGGAATGCTCAGCTATACCACTTTAAAATAAGCAGTGCTTTAATGCTGTCATTTGCTTGTGGGGAATTTAGCTTATGCATAACCATTTTTTTTGCCCTCTTTCAGATCTGGAACTCTACAACGAAGCACTAAAAATTATTCATGAATTCCCTGAATACTTCCCATTCGATACTGGGAGGAACAACTGATTTTTCTTAGCATATATTTAGAGCTTCAGAGGGGACAACAGTACCGTAGCTTTCTTGCCTGACAGCATGATGACAGTTGCATTTATTTCCAACAAATATACTGAAAAGATACTGTTACATGTGCCATGTATTGCCAGTGAAGAATGCTTTCTTTGAAAATGTATTTATTCAGTAAGAAGAGTACTTCTGTGGATATCTCACTGTCTGTATATATTTAACCCTTTTGCATCCATGAGGGGTGTTCTCTTCCAGGAATGGGCTTGCTAGAAACTAAAGTTTTGTAGGCATCTTTTTGTTGCTGTTGGTAGAGGTTCTAGGATACTTTACAGGAAACTCATTGAAGACATTTGTGGGGTTTTAATGTAAAGATTTTTTAATTTCATTTGCTTTGATACAAATTTATCGAACATGGGGGGGTATTTCGCATCTTAAAAATGGCCTACTCCAATAAAAAAGATCTGACTACATTTAACTATTTGTGTCAGTATTACATGTTAGAGTGCTGTTTTCAGTGGTACGTCATGACTCCTGTTCTATTTTACCTGACACAGGTAATTTTAACGAAGTGGAGTACAAGGTACTCGCCTTTTGCACTGATGTTAAACACTTGGAAGATGTCTAGTTAGGCTTGGGGATTTCAAGTGCAGCTGACTTCCCATCACAACCTTCATTCTTGGTGGGAGTCTAAGCAGAAGTACCAGCATTCAGCCAGCTTATCATGATGACTTTATAAACTTCCACACAGTTCCCAATTTTGTTACTATCCAGGCTACTTAAAGCACATAGCAGAATTCTTACATCTCTTAAGGTAACACAATCAAAGTAAAATCTAACTTTGGAAATATTATCTGTGAATTAATAAATAAAACATTTCAACGTATTTTAAATAAACCTTAGCCATGTTCATTAACCTTTCATACAAACAGGTTTCAGGTTTAATAGCTAGATTTAGTGCCTTACTAAGATTGCTAGCTTTGTGCTTATTTATAGACACCTCCGTTTTCAGTCAAGGAATTTATGATAAGACTTCCTATTTATCAAAGTTACTACAAACTGGGTGGATGATCAAGATAACAGGTGATCTATTTTTTTGCCCTCTACTTAGAAGACAGACAATGACAAATCCGCTGTCACTGGGAAGGAGGAGGACTTCTGAGGTAGGAGCAGTCTCATACAGCAAACAAGAACACGAGGTGCATGTGGCATGATATCATGGTTTGTCCTGTAGTGCTATCATCGCTATATTTTAGCGCTCAGTAGAATAAAATCTCAGTCTTAATAACTGCATGCATGTTTTCCTAGCATTTAAGTCTTTTGTACTATCCTACTTTAGAAAATTGGTATTTTGTGCATGTACATACATTCCGTAAAATGTTGTGTAGGTAGTTACCAAGCCTATCCAGGCCTAATAAAATAGTCTACCACTAGATGGCCATAGCACTTTACCCCCATGCAGAGACCATCCTTGGCTATCTGGTCTTGTGTGTGAATGTTTGAACAGTTTCCCTTTGTCAGTCAAGACTCTTCTTGTTCATCCAGTCCCACAGCGATGATACGTGGCTAGGCAAGCAGTATACAACGAAAAGTTTCTGCTATGGACTTTTCATTCATCTGCTTCTCTATAGACTTATCAAGGTTTGTGAATAAATGACCTGCCCTGGCTATATGGCGATACTAACAAGACAGAAATGCAAGGAACTGTACAATATTCTTGATAGTAAAGTAATGCCAAGTTCATATATGCATTTACCAGGATAGCAATGTGGGAAACTGCCAGCCATTCCAGATACCCACGGGAAATGAATAACCATGGGGCCTGCTAGCTGTCCGTTAGGACTGCACTAAGATGAAGGGGTGAGAAACTGCCAGACCTCGTAGATAATAAAATGGGAAGTAGTGGCTTCGTGGGTTGCTGACCGAAGGGGAGTCACCAGGGCAGCTGTATCATAAACACCCAAGAGGGATGTCACCAACACCAGGGCCAGCAGCAGGGCCAGTAGTGGAAGGTGTGAATAGGAGCTGGCAGCTTCCTTGGGAGATCAATAAGGGTGGGAACCTGGGAGAGGAAAGGGGGGTATGAAGGGAGCGATGTAGTCGGGGCTGGCTGGGAGAGGTTCCCGTCATTTGGAGCAGGACACCAAGCCTACTGCTCCCACCACACTTGTGACTGACTTCTGGGAGCTGGCACCTTTTTCCCTGCCCCGACTAAGGGAATGTTTGGAGTCCCCCTTCCTAGCATTGGCATGGGTGATGCTGTCACGTTGCCTTCTCCTCCTGTAATATCTGGCATAGTTGGCAGGATCATGATCTAAGTAAGCGTAACTGGAAAAAATGAATCTGGTGTAGAAGGGGTGTCTGCCAGAGGCACAGGGAATCACAGATTGGGCAAGCTAGGTGTTGGAAAGGTGGAGAGGGGATTGAGCAGGCCCCAAACTGGGCTTCCTTGGCTGCAGTGGAGGTTAGGCTTTAGCAGAAGCTGGTTGCTAAGCACTTAAAAAAATGAGAGGCAGCTTAAGGCTGCCTGCCTTGTTGCAGGGGCTGCTAGGTGGTCCAGTCTTCATAAAATACTGTTTTGAAGTTGGAGAGCTATGTTTTGAGAAACAATCCTTAAGCCATCAGTCTGTTTTAGCTGTCCAGCAGGCTAAACTTCAAATAAAAATGAAACTGACGTAAAGGAGAGTCTTATTTAGGGAACCTATTCACAGGATGAAGGAATCTCTGCACTTTGGGAGGCCAATGGCACAGCTGCAGCCCTTGTGTGGAGTCACAAGAGATTGCCACTGTAACAAGGGCCATGCTGCAACCCAGGAGCCCCGACTTTCTCCAGCCAAACCTCTCCTTGGAGTGTCTGATGGACATGGAAATCATCACTTGCTGGTTAAGAGACACTCCTGCTCAGAGCCCCGTAGCAGTGGGGCAGAAGGACTCCCAGGTAAGGAAGCCGGGAGCAGCCCTCCTTGTGGGCCAGCAAGCTACTGCGACTTCCCTCTCTGCTCTGACAGCCCAAAGGGGATGGTTTTATGTCTCAGTTGGTTAAGGTACAGAAAGCAGTCCGTGAGTCTGACATGGAGGAACCGACTAAAAGTTGGCAAATTCTCTTGGGGAAATTCAGTTCTAGCGGGGATCCCAAGGGAGGCCACCAGAATGCAGCTGTGGTACCATGCAGGAACCCAGGAGGCGGGGAGAAGCCTTGTCAGGGGTGTCACTGCAGACTTGTCTGTCGTTCGCTGGACTCGTGGCTGACCCTGATCACCACCACCAGACCTGCTCTGCTGTCCTTGCTCGGGCATGGACACATGCACAACTCGTATTGTACTCATGTGCAAGCAAGCTGTGCATATATGATGAGAAAGCTTGTGCTTAATCAGGGAAGGGAGGCAAGGCTGGAGCATATAATGAAATGAAAATAATTAAATGTAATCAGCATGAACCATAGGCTCAAAACACTTTAGCATGCAAGGCCATCTTCATCTAGTTAACTCAGAGTTGAGCAGATACTAGAAAACAGTAAATGTAAAAGTAACTGCAGCTAATAAAAATGTCTGTAGCTATACTTTTTGTTAGAAGACAACAAATCACCCCCAAAATCACAGCTTTATTAATTTAAAAGCAAAACAAGGAAAAAATCTGATCATTAAAAAACATACACCTCTTACTTTGTAAATTTTGCAAATAGTGTAATTACTGGCCTGAAAGCCTGATTACCAATTACAACAGCCAAAACTGATAGTTACACTGTGCCAGAATATGCACACATTCATAATCCAAAATGTTTCAAAGATACGCCGAGTACCAAAGCAAGCGTCTAATTTAATGAAATGATAGAATTTGACACAAACAGGTATAGTCAAGTCAAAAATGTTAAAAATGAGTTTTCTTTACATATGAAAATGAGACATTTTAAGTTAGTAGCTGCATTCACCTGGACATGGAATTTATCAGGAAAATTTACTAAACGTTGTTACTACAGAGGAATAAAAACATATCCTTGACACTTACAAATCCTCATTTCCATAAAGCAACAGTTTTATTGCCTGTATTTATATAAATAGGGTATCATACATTAAACCCCAGTTTACATTTATAAATGGAGAACATTTTGAAGAGCTCTTCAACAGCAACATGAAGTGTGCAAAAATACTGGAAAGAGAAATAAATATTCTAACAAGAAAAAAAAGTAACTGCTCTCCCATGCCTACAAATATCAAGTACCTCTTAGATTTTTAAATTTAAAAAGATCTTTGTCTATTAGGCAAGAATTTTAGATCAGAATAAATGTATCAGATGTATTACAACATTAACGCTAAATCAGAAAATATAACCCCAAGTCCTGAATGTAATCATGTACATCTACAGAAAACATTTCCACATTCTATCTTGTTGCAACTACACTAGGGCATTTAGAACTAGTGGTATATTACAATATATTCTCTTTTAAAACACCAATTTTCACAGTCCTGGCAATACGGTACCAGTTTATAGCTAGCATTCCATTTAGCATTTCATAGCACGCAAGTGTTAAGTAACTCATTTACTGTTTCTACTAGTAAATAAACACACACCAAGTAAACTGATGTTGTTATCACACACCTTAAAACAGGTTTTTTTCCCCTAATTTGTGTGAATTTTGTTGCCTACAAAATCAAGGACAACAATACCGATTAGCTCCTAGCACAGTATTAGCAAAATATTGTTGACTCTCTCTCAAGTTAATAAATAATCTTAATTCCAGCTGGTAACATATCTAGAACTACTTTTGGTCAATGACCTAAAATTGTGCAGCCTTTTGGGAGCAGACTGGTGTCCGCTAGTGACCAGAAGCAGGATTTATATAGGTTGACTTCACACTTCCCAGCATATTTCAGAAGTACAGGGAAACGCTGATTATCCAAAAGTCTTCAAATGTTTTTGTGGTCAAAACTCAGCGTGTAGTTTAAAACTTAAATATTTACAAGTCTCCAGTCCTTGAGATTTCAGATCTTCATAGTACTACGTTAAAAATTAATCAATCAAATGAAACCTCCTATAGTTTACCTGCAGTCTGCACTGAAATAGACACACGACTTTTCAGGGAACTCTTCTCTAGGATATAGACATCGCTAGGAGGCAAAACCCCCAAATTCTTTAGCATTAAAATTCACATCAGCTAGGTATGTAGGTAAATTAAATAAGACCTTGAATTGCAAAGATATTGCTTTACTATTAACAAAACTTGGGAACAGAAAGAAATGGATTTTTCTTTAAAATAAAAATCTTTATAATGCAATTAACAATGGCGCTTTGAATGAACTTACAAGGAAATGATCATTTGCATACAAGAAAGTGTGATCAAACAATGAACAGAGGAATCCACAGCATCACTTTTCAGGTGCTTATTTTGAAGGCCCGCTTTCACAGCATAGAAAGACTGCTTTGTTTGGAAAACAAATAAAAGGGCCGATCAGCATTACCCTGAAAACCTTTATTAAAAGTTCTCTGGAAGAGTCCACAATTCCAGGAGTGCTTTTGAACTGAACTGCTTCAATCCTCTGAACAAGGACCACATACTATACCCAGAGGCTCATTTCAGGAATACCTGTTTCTACTAAGCACAGTCATACACACATCATTTTACTAATCTGGTAGCAATTTATTTTTTCACAGTCAGTAAGTCACAAATGACCTTTGTCTAAAATATATGCTTGGACCACGATGGACATCCTTAGAGAGCCCCACATTTTCAAACTATTTATGCCTGGACAGTCTCTGCTGGAATGAGATTCCCTGTTGTATCCAGCTGCATACACTTGCAAGAGCAGGCAGAAACCGGGCACTCAGTATGGTCCCTAGACAGCAATAGCAGGAAAAAGAAAAAACAGGTAAAATAAAACTAACAAGAATTTTGTAATCTATACATTTAAGTATGTTCAGGGACATTATCTCAGAAAAACTCAGCATCATAGTTAAGTTTTGCATATGTTCTAAACCAACAAAACATTATAATGATAGATACAGCAAAGGAGTCATGTCCTACTCAGTGCAGCATACACATGTGAAATAAGAAAGATTTTAACATCAGCTTACCTGAACCAGCTAAGCATATGCCCAGCATGTCCACCATGCCTACAGTTGTGGCACCAAGTAAACCAGTTGTTGAACTGGGCTAACTTCTTGTCTTTGCTAAGATCCACTTTTTCATCTGACTTGGACCCTCCTGTGCAGAGGCAAACCCACCCCCACAAATATGCTTGTAAATCATTATGCTTCATTTATATTTCAGTCCCAGTAACGCTACTAGAATAAATTTGAAATTAAGAACATTATGTGAAGAAGTGGCCCTGATTTTAAAAGAGAAGTCAGTAAAAATATTGAGAACTGGTGGAATGCCAAAACATTTCACACCTAATGTGACATGCTAAAGTTGCCTATGAAACAAATTTTACAGACAGAATCTCTTTCAACAGTGATTTATGTTTCAGTGCTTGATTTATGTTCCAGTGAATTATTTCCTGTTTTACCGCACATGAAATGTTCTGCTTTAGAAAAACCAACAAAATCTAAGTTATGAACTGGAACAATTACAATATAGAAGTCATAACACAGATCAGTGAAAGAATGGGAAGAGATATATAAATAGATGACAACTGCACAGCTGCTCATGGCTTTATAACAAGACTGACCTAATAATATGAATAAAATCAGTTTCATTTAGACCTTGTATAATGCTGAGCCCAAGACATTTAGAACCAGAAGATTCTAGTCATAATATTTCTTAGCTGTGACAGCATGACCTACACATTCTTTCATACTTAGTGACAGAAAGTACACCACATTAAATTGATTCTCTCTTCCTCTTCCAGCTAAAAATCAATTAATTTACATTCCAAGATTTCTGTAGCATCCCTACAATTCATCTTAAGAAAACACACTTCCCATTTCTTACGGTTTTAAAGCTCACAATACTGACCACCACAATACTTGAATCTTTTCATCTAACCATGGAATTTCACTAACAATCTCATTGGGAAAACTGTCAGAACCAAGTAACTGTGCATACTGTCTGACACCAAAGAACTGAGACAATAGGTTTCATCATAAAACCAGATGGGATGTAAACAAGTTTTCAGTTATGGTCTTCCTCCCTCAAAATGACGAGTATGAATATTTACAATATGAGTACAAATAGAAAGAAAAAGGTGCAACAGATCTTCCAACAGGAACTGCTAATTAGGCCTCTAACTAGTACTTTAACTGAATAACTAAAACCCACTGTGTCATACCTGGACAGCTGGAAACTGGTGTTCCCATATTTATCAAGCAAAGTGCACAGCGAGGAAGGGGTTTACGGCAACCAGGACAGCTTGTAACTTTTGACTTAGTTGGTGAACCGCTAACTCCGTATTGGCTAAAACCTCGCCCCTGATGAGGAATAGCTGAACAGCTGTAAGAGATTGATTTTCCACAGAAATTGCAACTCACAAACACCTAAAGAGAACAAAAGCCTATTAATTTTTTGGTTTGGTTCCACTTTTGCTACACCTATGAGTGAATTCGTTCAAGCTAGCAAATACTTATTTACCAGATATTCTAGAGAGTGCCCTGGAAAGCCAAAGCTTGTGAAGGAGTTCCTAACATCTTGGCTTATAGATGTGGCACACAGTCTAAGAAGTAGGCCTTAATGATGCTCACCTCAAAAGCACGTAAAAACATGCACAATTGCTCAAACTTGGAAAGGTATTACTTAAGATAATAAAAAGCGATATCTGCAGTAATGAAAGAAATTAAGTTTACTCTACTTACTGTGTAATTAAATCTGGTCTCTCCCTCCTTACAGTCAGGTGACCCACTCTAGAGTCCCAAACGTGAGGATTTTCTTAATAATCTTTATCTGCATACCTTACGCCGCAAGTTTTGACTTGATACCAAGGAGCACATATTTTAAACTCTTTAGGGGCTATTTATGTTGATCACATAAAGAAGGAGCAGTAACTCAACTCCATCCCACTTGGAGCAGTACAGTTGCAGCTCTCCTTAAACAGCTGTGACGGATACATGAATTCAAAAATAGCCTTCCTTAGAAACCCTTGGGCCCTAAGGCTTGCAATGCACATACTTAGCAGACATGAGAGAGTGGAAGGTGCTGCAGTAAGACCATGGTGGCTAAAAATGCTACCAGATATTAAGTAGATAGCATTTGGACAGGGCGTCAGTTTTTGGTTTAGCTTATGTTCAGAACTGATAACGAAAGTTGCTGCTGTTCACTTTTAGTTTAGGTTGAAGGGCTTCAAAATAGCTTTGAAGTTCACTTCAATGAAAAAAGAGCCAATTTGAACAGGTTCTTGGTTCAATTCCCTAGTTTTAGCATCATCCTCACCATTATCAGAATTCAGCTGGATGATACATCTCTGATTTTGTTTTTCAACATGGGAGGAAAAAAAACAGTTTCCCCAGAAAAAGTGTTGGAAAGCTACAGTTTCTGAAAGACAACCTGTTATTTGAAAGAAAAAGGTTTAAGAAAAGAAAAAAACAAACCCAACCACTTGAATAAAAATGTTAGGGAACTGATTTCCTAGATTAGATATGAAGAAATGTAGCTTTCTTTACCATATTTCTGTACTCTCTATCAAAACAGTTATTAAGTCCTTTCTCAAAAATGATTTTGAAAAAAAACCATGGCTACTTTTTTAGGGCAGCCTTAGTTGATAATCCTTCTTTTACACATCAATCCTCATGAAAGCCAAGGTGCGGCCAGCAACTTTTTCCTATAGAAGTACCATGCCACTTTCCTTTCTGGATTGGTTGAACTTCATACAAGCATTACATTTACCTGGGCTAAAGGTTTTGAACTGGGGTCCAGCTTACTCCTATGGATATCAAATTCTGCACGTTTATGCCAAAACCTCCAAGCATCTAAAAGATTCCTGTAGTTCTCAATCCAGTACTGAACCCTCTCATCCTTAAGTACCTCTGACGGAGAACCCTAAAGCAGGAAAAAATGTCAGACACACACTGAAGATACACAATACATATTATTCACTTTTTCAAAAGACTTTACAAAGCGTACTACAAGATATAAGAAATAATACAGTGTAATTTGTCTAGAAAAAGATTTATTTTGTTAAACTGTAATGCAAGTTTGATAAAAATTTTCTACAGTCTGTCTCTTCAGTTGAAAATACCTGTGCTGCCATGTCCTACTAAAAACTTGTGTCTTCAGATGAAGGTTTATAAAATTCTGTCACATATCAGAGTCTCTATCATTGTTATGATTACATATGCAGCTAAACACAGTGCTGGCCATAGCTGCAACTGTGTAAGGGCCAAGAGAAATCCATCATAAAAAAACCAAACCCAATACCTACAAACAAACCTCACCTCAGTTCTCTATCAAAATCCTGAAGCAAAAAAATAATGGTTTGAACCTATCAGCAAACACGCCAGCAATAAGCAGGGGAATGGGTATTCCTAGTTCAGCTAATGAAAAGGACTATTTTTTCTTTTTGCCTCTTTCCCCTACTATCTCCTCAAGCTCTCTCAACCAGAGAGAGTGAAGATATACGTTTGTAGTTAACACTGAGTGCTTCAGATGATTCCACAAAACAGGCATGATATATATTGTCACAACTGACTATAGAAAATACTTTTTAGTTCAATACTATACTGCTAAAGAAACTATGCTTAGTTGTCTTCTATACAGATTTATTTTTGAGTAAAACACTAACCTGTAGCATACAATAGCTTGCTGTCTGGACATCTCCAGTTCTGTCAACGTAACTTTCCATCAAGTCCACTCCATCTTTTGTCAACCCCGTTAACAGTATTCCCTCCAAATTACCAGCGTCTTTCATTTCATTCGTCAGCTTTTCAATAAACCTGTTCAGCTATGAAAAAAAAGAAAAAATTACTTAACTTTTGCCACCTGTTCATCTCTTCCTAACTTATTTATGTTGATCTACGTCAAAACTTTCTATGATTGAATAGCTTTCTTTAAGAGTGTTTTTTGCTAACAGAATATGCTGCTTGCTGGATGTTATAAAGGAAAAAGTATATGGCCATATCCACTATATTGCAAGAATTCGAATATTTATCAACAAACTTTAAGCCTCCAGATATGAAGTGCAAAGACAGAGGTGACGTATTCTTTAAATACTTCAGTTTCCTGCTCTAAAACCAAGCCTTAATTCAAGAGAAGGTAAATATCTGGAAATAAATACTGAATAAGTACAGATACTCTCCAGTAAGACAGTTAATGCAATAACATTTAACAAACTAGCATGTCATCAATATTAAAAAAAACAAGAGACAAAAATCAAGCTGAAGGTAGAAATTGAAGACCAGATTATACCATACCTTATATGCTATTGTGATGAGAAAAAACAAATCACTCATGACTCATTGCTTCCACTGTTCACCCCTCCACGCCAGAGTTTCTCGCGTCTCTAAATAAAACCCAGCTTAACAGTTTGCTTAAAAGTGCAACCACAGACTTACTTGGGCATCATTGAGGAACTTGCAAGCAAATGCCACTCTGTCTCGTACAGCTACGTTATTTTCATACTTTGGAGAGAAAAATGGGAATACTACCATCACACGCAAGCTTCCACTTTTTCAATACATTGTTTGTAAAAGTCAGAACATCTGCACTATTGTATAACTAGTACTATGAATTTGATAATGGACAAAGAAAGCATCGCATCTGAAGAAAGCTAATGCTAATTATCAGATGAATTGTTTATACTCAGATACAGGTATCAGTGCCAGACTGTGACGACTGGAACAATCTATTCAAATGGCAGAAAGCCTGGTACAACACATCGTATATGGGTTTATGAAACTCTGGATACAGAAACTTCGCAAAACATGTAGGGCTGGGCAAAGAAGACATGTAATTCTTCTAGCACATATAGCCAAGAGTCTCACCAAGTCACAGGGGCAAGAAAAACAAACAAACCTTCGTTTACCATATTTACAAAATAACTAGTCTAACCACTCTATTCCTCACTAAAATCACAACTAAAAGTTAAAAAAAAACCCAAACCAAAACAAAAAAAAACCCCTCAAACACCCAGAACATGGATTTCGCACAAGTATATTGGCACTCAAGGTGTAGCAAGGCAATAGTATTTACTTTCTACTTTCTAATCCTTTTACTAGATCTGACACTTAAGAAAAAAATCCTTGACTAGATTCATTCTGGTACTTAGCTGTGCCGATATTTATCCCTCCTGATATTTTCAGAATAGAAATTGTGATTGACACTACCAAAACAAGATGTGCATGGCAAAATCTTTTTCATGTAAATTTCAACAGGTTTCATTAAACTAAAAATTAAAAAAAAAAACCCACCAAAATAAGAACACCTTATGGTCTGTCAGTTTCCAATTCATCAACAAAAAACAACCATAAAATTATTACATAATATCCAGAGAACAAGAGCATTCTCTCTTGCCAGTGTAAAAAAACCACTCAGGTTTCTCTCCTCTGGGATTCTTCCCTTATTCTTATTCAATACCCTAAAAGCATCGTATTATGACAACTTTGTCTTCAACAGGTTTAGGACAATTACCCTGTTGCATTACAGGAGTCCTCTTGAGCTAAATAATTCCTACTGAATCAAGTATTTCTGTTATTCTCTAACCAACGACCAAGTATGTTACCCCTCTAAAGGCTCAAAGTATCTCATAATTAAAGATTTAGTTTGCTTTCACATGGCAAGTTTATACCAATTTCAGAAGATGTGAAACTATTGTTTATTGTTTCAACACAGTAAAATTATTTTAACAAGTAAACAAGGAAAAATAAAATACAATTCAATGCAAATCTAGCTTGATGAAAGTTCTGTGAACTCCCCTGCACTTACTCTGTTTTGCGCATTTCCATTACTAACCTCTCTCCCCCTTTTTCTTCCTGCTTAAATTATCTTGATAATATATTTCTAATGGTTTAAGAATTCCACACCAAAAAAATTTAGTCTGCTCACTAATGCAACATTCACTAATATGAGATGTCTGTTTAGGGGAAAAAAATGATACCTGCCAGCATCAGAAGAAAGTAATACATTCTAATCTGATTAATTAATGGAGTATATAGCACTTCTCCTACAAATGTGTGTATATATATGCACTCATTACTTAAAGGAATTTTAATGTAAGAGAAATTTACTCACCAAAACACCATCATATGAACCAGACTCACTTGTCAGGAAAGCAAACATAGCACACAAGTAGGGATTGTTCAACTGCAGCCTTAGAGTACTGCACATTTCTCTCCAAAGTGAGTTCTTCTCATCTGTGTAGCCTGATAGAGCCATTGCTACTACATTAAGGTTCAGATCACCTGATTTATTAAAAACAATCAGAGAAACAATATTCAAGTTAAGGATTTAAAATAAATCCAATTAAAACTATAACTGAAAGCATCAGTTTGAAACAGAACTTTTTGTCAGGATGCAAGACAAAATGCAGTAGAATTAATGCTAGCTAAAATAAATGTGCATACACTAGCATTTTTCAGTTTCTGCTTTAAATGCCTCCGTTCAGGTAAGTTAACAGCTCTAAAAGTCACAAGCCCACATGCATGACACCCTGAGTTATACTTTAAGCAACATCACACTGGTTCTGGTATTTTGAAATAGTTTTGAACTGCTAAATGTATTCCTATTGCTATCATAAAAGACTGTCATTACCATATCCACAAGAAGTGAAAAGATAGGATTGTATATATAACTACCACTTAACAGACCTAGCTGGAGGATGACAATCGCATATAGCAGCTTCAAGTTAACAAGTTTCCTAAAAACATTAGATCTATTTCATCTAAATATTCATTCTGTCACAAAGTTCAATTTTATTTTTGAATTTGAAGATAGCGTGTCTCTGCTCTGAACCTTCTCTATGGAAAGTACACACTCACTCCCCCCCGCCCCCCCCCAAAAAAGGGGCAATATTAAATATAAAAGAACCTTAACAGCTCCCTCCTATAACAGAGCTACCAACTTTAGTGGCAAGACAGTCTTTTAAATTTAATAAGATAACACAGATGCAAATTGGAGTTGTAGGAGGAATACTGGCAAGAAAACAGAACTAAAATACCTCCATCTCCTGGCTCGAGTATTTTAACTCTTACCCTCACACACTGCAACTCTAACCAAATAATACTCCAAAACAAATGTTTTCTGCAGACCCTGAATATTACATTTCAGTTATTCCACAGCCATCACGCTGGCAGAAAGCCGCACACAGGCTGATGGAAGCAGATGTACGTGACATCTAGCCAAGACCCAATTCCACTAAAATAAAAGAATCCCACTAGTTCTGAGTGTAACACTTTCTGGTCTATGTATCAATAGGAAATTCTGAAACATACAATCTATTTTAACTAGACAGTAAGGCATATGATAGCCTGAGGAGTGAAAGATCAGGATTTGTCAGACTCTCAGCTCCAATACAACCACCTCAAGTAACTATTTTATATGACAATAGGCATCTTTTCCATACTATCTTCCATAACTCTGTTTACAGAAAAAAAATCTACTACGGTGATATAATGCCAAAATAAAAGATACGAAACACAATACGCACCTTTTCCTGAGGAAGCCCCTTTATTTAGAATTTGTATTGCTCGCCGTATGTCCAGGTTGAAAAGTGCTACGGCAGCAGCTCGCTCCCAGTCTCCTTCCTGTTCCAATGAATTTAAAAAAGGTTCCACATCTAAGTCAGTTCCCTTCTTTATCCACCCACAGAGCTGCAAAGCCAAGGATCTCTCCTCACTCAGATACTGAATAATATCTGCCTGTCTATCAGATCCACTCCTGCTGTGCCTGAGGTTCTCTGTTGTTCCTAGAAATGGGAAATAAGTTAAATTATGCTTAAATCACAATTTAAATTGCAATCGCAACGCTTTGATTTCAATCATAAAGCAGAGTACAAAAGCTGAGTATCATATTTTAGCACTTCAAATTAACATCACTAATAACTCCATGGTAAGGAGCAGCATACACAAAATTATTTTGATCTGCTAAAAATCACACATCTAAACTTGACACATATTCCCCACGAAGTCTTTTTTCTTTCCTCTACCTCCTAAGATTTTGGAGGTTCTTGTTACACAGTTGGCAGGAGTGATCATTATGTTCAACTGGAAAATACATAATACACAGTTAAGCACCTGCTCTACCAGTTCTCTTCTTCTTAGCAAGCATCAACATGCTAGAAGCTTTCCCACCACTGAAGAGTTATTTTTTGCTCCAAGGAGCATAAATATTAATAAGACACATAATGAATAGAGGAGGAAAGATTCAAATAATAGATTATACTAATAAAAACTTCACTGAGCATGAGAGGCATAATGTGAGAGGCACCTCGGGTGATTACCACTTCAGAACAAGGCAGCTTATTTAAACATAGATATATAAATGTACTTAGTACATTAGCAGTGACTAAAGTAAAGTCAGCTTCCTAGAACTACACCCCTATGTGGAACTTTGAAAAATATAATAGTTAATGGGGGGAGCAAGAATTTTCAGCGCCACAGTCAAACCCCAAATGTTTAAAATAGTTCAGCTGAAGATTTACCACTGAGGACATTTTAGTTTTATGATTACTGACTTTCCACGAACACTGAAAATTCTGGAAATTACTCTAATACAAACTGTTAACTTAGATATATTAAAACACAAAGAGAAATACTTTGTTTCTATATTTTCAGATAGCCTCTTTCAATAATTTTTAAAGACAAACCCATGAGTGCATCATTCTGTAAACATACTACAATAGAACTTACAAAAGTTGGAACATTCTTACCCAAAGATGACTTCACAATTGATTTAATGCCAGCATAAACTAAGGGACCTTTGTTTCCTGTAAGTTTTTGATCCATATCTTCAGTATACTGCTTCATAAGTATTTTCATGTATAGGAAGCTTAATTTTTCCCAAGTGTTTGAAAAAAAATTTTTTTAATTTAATTTAAAAGTCACACCCTATTAACATATGCAAAGTATTTACAGGATGTTGCATTACATTTAAAGACTTTCACGTATTTCATATAACTGTTTTACATATAAAGGTGTATTACTTCTTTAGGCTATAAACTACAGTAAAATAAAGGATATAATGCAGAGTGTACCAAAGCGATTTCAGCTGAGGATCTTCATTTCCAGCTAGGAGGTGATTTCTCCAAACTTGTTCAGTATCAAGACCATACCTCGACAGAGCTCTGAGCCGCATTTTGGTTGCTATGTCTTTTTCCAAGGAACTAGCTTTTCCTTCTTCTGTACACTCATACAAATGTCGTCCACAAGCCCACATTAAGGATGTCACTGGACTCCATGCAAGAGAAATTCTTTCAAAAACTGTGAAGTCAGACATAGTCCTGTTTGGAGTCACTACTACCATTCGATTTTGACTTGTGGGATGCCAGGCAAATGAAGCAATGTAGTTTTCACAGGGTTGGACACTTCTTTCAATTATTGTTGGCTCAGTTTCATCTCCAATAGGGGTGGGAGTATGCTGCATGTCATACAGTCTAATGATATTACTATCCCTTGTTAAAGTAGCTAACAGCCCAGTTCTTGTTGGACACCATGCAACTTTTGTTAAGGGTTTTGGTTGCTCTGTCAAGGTCAAAACAGGCTTTTCAAACTTTCTTAAATCCCATATGGCAACCTGACCTTCATAGAAGGAAGCTACACGATCGTGGAAATAGGGATCAACCGTCACTCCTTGGACAGCCTTGGTGTTTACAAATATTTTTTGGCTTGTGTTCCTCAGATCAAAGATAGCCAGATTTCGATGCATTCCAGCTAAAAGCAGCTTCTGATCCCGTGGAAGCCAACAAAGAGAGAGACAAGCATCATTCTGTCCTAATTCATACAGTGGCTTTGTTACTACCAGTCCTGCTTCCGGATCTCCTGCTGTAAGTCGTACTTTCTCTGTAGCAACTGCAGTCTCTGAGGCATATTTGCTACTGATATCCCAGATCAATACTGAAAAGTCAGCCCGATGTTTATCTAACCCGGCAGCAAGCCAATTGCTGTCTAGTGGGTTCCACGCTAGGGTATTGCATTGCCGTGCGTGTTTGGGAACAAACTCTTTGCCTATCAAATCTTTAGATTTTGAGTTGTGATCTTGACCGAGGCTAGTAAGCACCACGCGACCATTGGCCTGTCCAACAGCAAGGAGACATTCAGGATCGTACTTCGGATACCAAGCCACACATTTCATGTATGGTGTATCTGAATTTATTGACAATAGCGTAGCTGTAGTTTCCTCCGATAAGCGCAAGGACCCTGCCTTGAGTTCTGAACTTACAGCAGAGTCAATATGATAAAGGCTCAATTCCGAATCGCATACAACAAATCGGTCAACGTGGTGTGGGGCCCACAGAATATCGGGTTTGGAGCCACTCATGTTTAGGGTAAGTTTACATGCAATTTAAGGTCTTGTAAGAAGATTCAGGTGATATCCATTCATATGGAAACTGTTGAGAAAATGATTTGTAGGAATGTTATCAAACCCTGAATTCTTTTGTAATTTGAGATTATCTTTAAACAAACAAGAATATGGTTCTGAACAACTTCTACCCCAAGGGTTTACTACGTACACCTTTCATGCCAAAACCTGAATCCTCTCCACAGTGGCACGCTTTGTTTTTGCTGGGATGTACCTACTGAGATAGAACCAACATAGCCACCTACAAACTGACAATAGGATTTGCTGTGTTTACAAACTCCACACCAGTATTATTTCGTTATTATGGAAGAAGGAATTAACTGAAGTGTGATGTGGCATGATGTGTGGGTGTGCTGCTGGTAAAGAGCCACTCCCTAAAGCACGAAGAAGAAAACTTCTCTGGCTAATTGATGTGCACTAACTGACAAAAAGTAGAATCTGTCTGTTTTGTCTGAAGTCTGTTCTATAGCCTAGAAAAACTTGCCCTCTTTGAAGATTTCTACTTCAATAGAACTTTCCACTCCTCATCTTATTCTACTGCTCCTAATCCCACTTTCTGCTCCAACACTACCTTCTCTTCATTCGTATTTGGCCTAGCAGCGTTCAGAAGCTTACATTGCTGTTAATTACCATTTACATTTTCAGTAGCTGTACGTCCAGAATCGTTACACATGCCTGCACACGAAGAAAAAGACCCCACAGGTCCTATAAACTTCTTCTGTAACTGGAAAAGGGACATACTAGATCGGGAAGTACGAAAAAGAAGTGCCATCTTCTTCTCCTGAGCCTCCTTTGTGTGTCTGCTGGTCACCCCCCAGCCCGGCTCCTACGGGCTCCGGGGGGGCGCAGGGCCCCCTGGCCGCAGCCCGGCCCCTCTCGCCGCTCCCCG